GAAGCTACCAGCGTTCCGTGGGAGAAAGATGAGGCTTTCTGCTCCCATAAAGATGTACAGCCCCGGAAACCCTGTGCAGGGCCGCTATGAGTCGGCACCGACTCCACGGCACATAACAACAACAACAACAACAATTTATCAATGGATTATAGAGTGTTTTATTTTATCCATGATGAGTTACATGTTGGTTTGTGTAGAGGTTCCTCAGGAGCATGATCAAGTGTTCTGGAATATTTATTGTTCTCAGTGTTGCCCATAGTTTGTCATGATCCACAGGGTCATAAGACTTTGCATAGACAATAAAGCACAGGTAAACATATTTCTGGTATTCTCTGTTTTCAGCCAAGAGCCATCTGACATCAAGAATGTTAACCCTCATTCCACATCCTCATATGCTTGAACTTCTGTCAATTCCTTGTAAAAGCCCAGTTTCAGCTTTTTATTTATTTATTTTTTTAATTATCTGTAGCAAAATTTTACTCGGATGTGATATTAATGATATTGCTTTTGATTTCTACATTGGGTACTCTTCCAATCAATTGGTCAGGTATCTGTCTTCCAAATTTCTTTGGATAGATGACTGCTCATGAGGAACCTCTACATAGACCAAGAGGTAGTCATTTGAACAGAACAAGGGGACCCAAAGATTTAAAATCAGGAAAGGTGTACATCAGGGTTGTATTCTTTCACCATACGTATTCAATCTCTATGCAGAGCAAATAGTCTGAGAAACTGGATTATATGAAGAATAATGTGGCATCATAATTGAAGGAAGGCTCATTAAATTAACAACCTGCGATATGCAGATGATACAACCTTACTTGCTAAAAGTGAAGAACACTTAAAATACTTACAGATGAAGATCAAAGACCACAGCCTTCAGTATGGGTTGCATTTCAATGTAAAGAAAACAAAAATCCTCACCGCTAGAGCAATAAATAGCATCCATAAAATGGAAGAAAGATTTAAGTTGTCAAAGACTTCATCTTGCTTGGATTCACAATGAATATTCATGGAAGCAGCAGGAAAGAAATCTAACAATGTATTGTATTACACAAATTTGCTGCACAAGACCTCTTTAATGCATTGAAGAGCATAGATGTCAGTTTGAGGACTAGGGTGTGCCTGATCTAAGCCATGGTATTTTCAATAGTCTCGTGTGCATGTGAAAATTGGAGAGGGAATAAGGAAGACCATAGAAGAATTGATGCATTTGAGTTACAGTGTTGGGGAAGACTATTAAAGTTACCATGGACTATCAGACGAACAAACCAATCTGTACCAGAAGAAGTGCCACCACAATGCTCCTTAGAAGCCAAGATGGCCAGATTTAATCTCTCATATTTTGTACATATGATTAGGAGGAACCAATTCCTGGAGAAGAAGAGTATGCTTGGTAAAGTGGAGGTACAGAGAAAATGAGGGAGACCCGTAAGGAGATTGATTGGGACAAGGGCAGCAACAGTGGGCTCAAGCTTAGCAACAATTGTGATGATGGTGTGGAACTGGGCAGTGTTTCATTTTGCTGTACATATGATCACTATGAGTGACCATATGTCACTATTAGCAACCAACTCAACAGCACTTATCAACAACAACAATAGGAAGAATTAATATTAAAATAACAAAATATTAGAATAACAAAAATATTAAAATTAGAATAAAATGCTGTCCAAAGACCCTGTCGAAAACTGAGAAAAGTTTAATAATTTATGTATCTGTTTTCTAACATGAGGCCACTTGGGTTATTATTTTTCCCACTAGACACTATTACGTATTTTTTAGTACACTGAAATCTTATGTACCAAGTTATAAATTAGAATGTTTTTAAGAATGCAAAATTGATCCTAAGTATTTACTTCATTATATCAAAATTAACACTATCCCAAAAAAGTTCTGACTTATTGTTAGAAAAGTCAATTAAAGAGTCATTCTTCCCTACTTACCTTTCACAGTCCTGTACTGTCACTGATAATAAAGAATAGGATAATTAGGAGTCAAATATTCTCTTTTCTGGTTTTCCCTGGGTTTTTCAACAACTCAGCTTCAGATAGCCGTTTATTAATCTGGAGGAAGTTTGTATTATATTAAATGTATAACTTTTTTTCTTATGGGAAAATAGAATTCCATTCAAGAATTTTATCAATGATCATCTATATTGTGAAATGTTTTCTATAAATTTATACAGAACCAAATACTCCTTTTTTTTTGGTCTCATAGCATTTTACAATTAACTCTCGTATAGGATTTGCCATATGACAGTGATATTTCTCTTTTCTCTACTTGGCAGAGAACTTCTTAATGACTAGGGCAGTGTGTTTCTAAAATTTGTTAGCTAAACACTCAATACAGTGCTATTATAGACAGTAAATTCGGAAGGCTTTATATATTTTTTCCAAAATGTGCCTGAACAGAGACTGAACAAAGTAACACCAGTTCTCAGAATCCTATAGAGGGTTGCTGTGAGTCGGAACCGACTTGAGGGTACACAGCAACAACAGTATAGGAAGATATCAAATTTAAAGTTGAGTATTTATGACTGAGGATGGCTGTGTGAAATAAAGAAGGCTATTTCTCTCATTTGTTTGAAACATCACCATATAAAATCCAATACACTTCTGTTTGTTCTCTGGTTCCAAAGAGCAAAGAGAAAACCAACACAAGTGTTAAGACAAAAGAGGCTTTCTTAAACATCAGGAAGAAATTTCTCATACTTAATCATAAAGAGGATCATTTTTACCTGCGGGAGTACTGTGTTACCTCCTTACTAACGACATTTTTTAAAGCTGAACTTCTCTTTGGGAAGTTACATTTTGTATTTACCACATTGCATGGGAGCTGGATTAGATGATTTTGAAGAGATTATGTTATCTTCATGACTCCAGGAGTCAATGATTTGAGGCTTGCTTTGCATTCTATTCAGTTTGTAATCCATTTGGAAGTACTTGCAGAAGAGAGACATGAAAAGGTAACATTTATAGCAGTCCCTTGGGGAGAAAAAAAAAGTGAACTGCAGAAAACCAAATGATTAGTTAGCATTTCTCTTGATAATTAGTATTTTTTCTTTGATGTAAAATATTTTGCAGTTTAAATATTGTGCAGATTCATGTGATTTTACTGGGTTTAATTAGCTCCTGGCCAAACAGAGGGAAGCTCTCTAAAACAAACATATTGAATTTTAGAATCCAAGTTCCAGAATATTGCATTTTGGCAATTTCATAAGTACAATTAATATTCAGTGAGATAGCAATATATTATTTAATTCAACTTGAAGCACACTCTTGGATAATCAAACATTGGTGTATTAAATAGCTTATTTGTTATGATGTTTCTCCACTTGAATTTTAAGTATTAATCATCAGAGTTTATAAAATAAACATGTAACACAGAAGAGGGCAACTCATTTACTGAAGCTACTTCAAAACTGGGACTGGAAGAAGAATTAGGTCATTCGGCACTCTGCCTATAATTGCATTTCTCACTACTGCCTTAATTAGACACATTGAATCATTTTCATTTCTGCACATTCCTTCTCAACATGACTAGTTTATATTACTATGAGCAAACGCATTATCACCTTGTTTAACTTTCCTTTAAATTTATTGATTTAATTACACAGATTTGCAGTGTCAAATGTGCAACATCAGAGTATCCAATTTTATATTCAATTTCAAAGGCATGATCTTAGAATGTAGGTAGTCATTCAGATAGTTGGGTTTTTTTTTTTTTTTTTTCCTTTCTAAAATGAATAAGGCTATGTGTTATTTTTTTAACTCAAGTGAGAACTTTCAACAGGAAAGATCATTGAAATTGATTCTTAAATTGTATATCATGGCATACTGGGTATGAGTCGGACTTCTAATCTCAAGATCAGCAGTTCGAAACTACCAGTAGTTCTGTTGAGAAAGATGAGACTCTCTGCTCCCTTAAAGATTTATAGCCTAGGAAACCCAATACAGGGTCACTCTGAGTGAGATCTGACTCTACGGCACATAATCACCTTCACCAATTAAGGAATGATGCATGGGAATATCTTTTCATCTTTTTCTTTACATTTATTACATAGAGCAGTAAAGCAGTTTTTCTATTTGTATTATATACAAATATTGATGAATATCTAAAAGTGAAGAAAAATAAAAGGGATTAGATAGGTTTACACAAGAGTGGTCTATCAGTCATATTCACTTCATCACTATTCTTTTATAGAGCTCATGTGAACCCATAACAGAATATAAAAAAGAGATAAATACAATATAGCAAATCATATGATATTCTTAGTTGTTTTGGAGTCACAAATG